AAACTACCGTCACTACTTGTTTTGCTGGTTCTGCACCGTCAGAATTAAATCAAGAGTTCTTAGAGGCACCTGGAGTGGTACAAATATGTGCTCATCAGGGTTAAGGTAATATCAGTTCCTTATTCAGGTTCTTTTTTTTTTCAGTTCAGGTCAAGTTCTCAGGAGCAGAGTACCTGGAGAGAGGAACAGGTCACCGATCGCACAGGTACTGATTCTTGGAAGCCTCGCACAACCACTCGGGCCTTAGGGCTACTGTTGGACTGTACTTCCTCTGTGTTGATATTTCATGAAACGTGTCTGTATCAACAAATGATAGGAGCACACTTACAGGAGATGATTCATTCCTGACACAGACAGCCAGAGAGGGTTACCGGCTGCCGTATGCAGCTTCAGGTTTAAAAAAAAAAAAAAAAGTGTAGCAATTATTTTCAGATAATTGTCAAAAGCAGAAATGTGTGTTTCACTTTATCTTGAGGTCTGCCGCAAACGTTTGAGATAGATAACAAAGTTAAGTAAGGTCCTCTGGATGGATTAAAAAGAAATTGTTGAAAGGTTTTATCCAAAAGACTTCATCAGTCTGAGGAGCTGCAATAAACTCAGTCTTATAAATAGCACCTTCACCTAGTGGATCAAGCAGTTAGCTGGTGACAGCCAGAACTAGCTGTTCACATGATAAAGGAGGACCATCAGCCTAACAACTGATGGCCGCTTGCTATTCACAGGGGGCTGAGTGACACTAGCAATAACAGCAATGTAAGAGGGAGGACGGTTGGACACGGAGGGCTCCACCCCATTTAATGATGGACGGTTTCTCTTCACAAAGATGGCCTCCTTCTCTTCCCTCAAACCAACATTCATCTCTATCAGGGATGTGCACATCTTCATCCCTGATGTTGTTGTTTTTTTTTAATTTTGCACAGTTACTTCAAGGTAAAACATAATGAAAGTCATCTTGAATGAAGCCCAGCACTTCTACGCTAAGAGGGTTGATAGATGCAGGCCGGGGGTCCGTGCATCCTGCATGGGCGGCATCATCAGGCTCAACGTGAGGGCCGTTAGCATATGGTCTAAAAGTCCCAAGTAGGAAAACCAGCAAAGTCTAATCTTTATCGAAACGGTGTCAACGTGTTGCTCGTCTTTTCGACCTGCCTATTTGTTGATGATTTCCTTCATAATCCTGAATACAGTACTTTGTTCACAGCTTCCTGAGAGTTAGCTAGCTACCATTCTAAAAAGCGCACTGCAACTAGCTTTCTGCTCTTCGTAGGTAAACGGTGTAGGAATTCATCGGTAAAACGTCCAGAATAACTGGCCGAGCCTGTCTCCGTTTGGTTTAGCAGGTTCGACATCTTGTGTTATTTTCACCAATTCTTCAAGTTTAAATGTCACTGAATTGTTATTTTGTATACAGGAAGTGTAAATGTGGTTACTTCTTTGATTTGTCCACAGTGAATATGTCAAGATTTTTTTTTTCTTTGAAGTGTTGGTACAAAGTAGTATCTTACCTGCGGTGGATAAAAATCACTGCATTTTCAGTTTGTAGTATCTGGGAGGAAATCTCACGAGGGAGCCAAGCTAACCGCTGCTCAGAGCAAAAGTAATCATGAGACAAAACTCTTAAACGTGTTGCTGAAGTTAAAGCGTACTTTACATAAAATATTTTTGCATCTTGTCATTTTTGCACCTGACTCTTCTTTGGTTTGTCAAAATTTTCCCCATCAAATAAAGTCCGAGTACGACTGTGCGATCTGCTGTGGACCACAATATATCTGGTCTCATCTACTCCGCCAGTATTACAAATATTGACTTAAAATTTAGTTTGTTAGCAGCTGAGATTGACCCCAACATGTTCTGAGCGCTAACAGATTGCATAAGTTATATAATTTATAAATCTTGCTTTTTTTTTTTTTTTTTACAGTCAACTTGGTCCACCTCTTAGGAAAATATCTCACAAACTACTGGAAGGATTTTAATGACATTTTCAGGAACTAATATTTAAAACTGATTAACTTTAGCACCAGCTGAATTCAAGATGGCTTCCACAATTAACTCACCTAAGAAATCACAAAATTGTCTATACGTCAGTCAGTTTTATGGATATTGTGCTACAGTTGTGGGTGGTTGTAGATGAGAGATAATGTTGATACATACTGCTGATTACTGCAAAAAAAAAAAAAATTACATTAAAAATCTTTGCTTAAAACATTGTCATTAACTGTTGAAATCAGCCCTGTTTGCACTGAACGTTGTAAACTGAGCACGGCAGATGCTAAGCTGTTACGCGATGCACTAAGCCACAACTTCAAGCAATCTGTATCAAACAATAAAACAAGGTAAACTCTATATTTTGACCAAGATGTTTTTCAAAAGCCTAAAAAAGAGCAAACACCTCATATTTGCTGAAATAATCCCCAGCAGAAAGCTTTCCAACAAGTGGCGTTAGTTAGATTGGCTCCCGGGGAGAATTCATTGGTCATTTTTCAAAAATGGTAGCAGTATGGCTGCATCTACTGCAGGTAACACACTGACGTCCTATAAGTACTTTTTAACCCTCCTGCTGCCATTAGGTTATTTTGACTGTTTTAAAACTGAGGTGGTCATTTGAACCCAAGGGAAGCAGGAAGTTTCCTTTAAAGAGTGCATCCCCAACAGTGCGTGACGTGAGTTTCATTCAACTATAACACAGTATTAGAATTATAAACAGACTCCACTTTCTATAATGTACACTATGTTGTCGTAAATCAGTTTTTAAAAAAAAGAAGAAAATACCTAATTTCAAATGGTTTCCAGTATGATTGCTCCTTTCCTTTGCAGGGACACAGCACGTCAGTTTCTCACATGAAAACAATGATTCATGCGCACGGCTAATTTTGTTCCCGTCATGACTTAACCCAAGCTCTGGGAGTCTCGGTTTACAGCACGTCAGCCTGAAGTGCTGCTCCGGGAGGGATGAAAGCCCCGCGGGGCCTGGATTACAGCAGCACGCTTTGTCACATTTGTGCAACCGCAGCTTGTCACGGTGGAGACGTGCACTCGTCACCGGAATCACAACAATCAGCACCGCAGCTGGAGACAAGATGGAGTAGCAGCCTACGCACTAAAAGCTGCAGGATTATTTTCATAACTCAGCTGCTGTTGGGTTTTAGGTTGGATTGGCTGGACCAAAGGTTCGGCCCAGATTTAAAGTGGTAGACGAGCCTCGCCGAACTTCACAGTCAGCCATTTTAATCGAGGTTGACCTAATCAAGTCTGACTGCTTTGTCTCTTTGTTAGCAAAATATGTGATGAGCCACTGGACGGATTTCAGTGAAACTTTGAGAAAATAATCAGGTACATCTACAACGAATCACCTTTTGGAAGTAACTCAATTCAAGATGGCTGCCACAACCAACTGACGGTAGAAAACGGACACATGGCTACAGACAGGAGTTAAAATTTGAGGTGGCAGTAGCTGAGCGTCCTCCTCAACATACTATGAGCGCAACACGTGTGACATCTTTGTTCAGAACTTTGGCATCAACTGTTGGAGCCAACCCTGTTTGTCTGTTAGCAAAATATCATGTGAATCACTGAACAGGTTCCAGTGAAACCCCCAGAAAGTCATTACTCTGTGCATCTACAACTGATTACCCTTTGACGTCAAACCAGTGCACGATGGCAGCCACAGCCTTTTGACCTTAGCTTACACGAAACTGGATACTCGACAGGTATTGAGCTAACCATTGTTGTGGTAGTAGCTGACAGTTCCTCATAACAAATACTCCAAGTGCCAACAAATCAGGCAAGATATCGCAATGTTGCACGACATTCCAATAATGTCGATTTCACCGTGACCACAAAATGGCTCCAGCTTTGTCTCAACATAGATTTTAGCCTAAAACTACGGCATGAAATGACGGCGACAAGCCTTTCTTTAAGGCATGCTAGGCCTTTATTTTTACTTGGTTTTGCCACTTAAGTAGAATGTACGCTTTGTATAATTGGTGGTTCTCCCACCTGTGATTCTTGTGAGTCCTGCGAGCAGCATCGCTGCTTCAAAGAGGCAGATACGTGACATCACCTTAAGACAACGCAGCACTTGTGGCCAACTCCAGCAGCCATTTTCTCACAGTCTTAAGACATCTGCGGGGTAAACTGATTGCTGTATGCTGGAACCATTAACAGGAGTAAACTGCACACTTGTGACTGGAGGAAGTGAAACGGCACAAAGGAAGTGAACTGAGTAAAACAGGAAAGAATGATGCTTTTGAAAGTTGCAGCTAAATATTTTACAATGAACAGGAGGGGAAAATACCACATTTAGCAGGTTCTTTTTAGGTTTTATTAATGCAGAAGTTACCTAGCTCAAATACTCTGCTGAGTGGTACTCCATTTTTAAATTTACGTCCCTCTAAATCAGTAGCTAGAAGCTGTAGAAACACAATGAATCCATACGTGCTCGGGTTCCAGCACAAAAAAACCCAAAAAAACACGGAAACAGAGGGTAGAAATACTCAAATGCATTGGCGTCAGATGAGGTTCTGTTGTCGGCTGTTTCAGTCAGCAGTAATGCTATTTACATTGTTCAGTATGTACAGTAGAGAATCTCCCAGAGATGTTAGGTTCTGTAAAGCTGCGATGGGGTACTCCTTTAAATTCCTCACATTTCGAAGTCCCTAGAGATGAAGAGCCACGCTAGTCCCTGTTGAAGTGGTTTGAATGGGTAAAAATGGACTTTCTGCTGTATTGCAAGTCTAACTGTGCGAGGAGTACCACTGATCTGTGGTCAGATGCCATGAGTGTACACAACACCAACTTAAAGGCAATAAATAGCAACACTTGGAAAGAAAGAGTTCAAAAACGGGCGTCATCAAGGATTGGACTTCTCACACAAATCAAGACTTTAAATACAGTAAATATTTTTTTTTGTCATAAAGGTATTTGTAGAGAAAGTTGAGTGTTAAATGCACTGTACAACCTTGAATAGTAATTCTTTTTTGAAAATATAGTTTATCCTCATGTTTTTTTTTTTTTTTTTATCTTACAGGATCCTGTACATTTCTGCATTGAGATTGGGTGATATCCTGATCGTTAGAGAAGAAATAAGACGAAAATTAGAAGAGGGGAGAAAGAGAAGAAGAGAAAAACAAAGACAAGAGTTGTTCAGTGCCGTTGTTGCCCTCAGTGAAGACGCTGCACGCCGTAACGAGGCTCTCGTCTGTCCCGCACCTCAATCTGCAGAGAAGGAAACAGGAAACTGATTGTTGAAATTAACAAGTGACCATTAAAAGAAATAAAATGGCAGATTTAGAAGAAAATAGCATCAAAATCGGAGTTACCTAAATAATATTTTAATGTTTTTATGTTCTTATGGTACCACTTTAAAATAAGGCTCCCCTTATTTTTATTTATTTATTCATTTATTCATTCATTTAAAAGAAACAAAACAAAACAAATTCATTATAAAAAAAAATGGAAAGGGTGCAGAAAGAAGAAAATAATTCTTATAATATCTGCCCCTTGTTAAAAAAAAAAAAAAACTTTAAACAAACAACAATTTAGGATTGAACAAGTGAAAACAAAAACATTATACATCCTTCACTTGGCACCATACTTTCCTAACAATTTTAACTTAATAATCTTTTTAAACATATAAGTTGTTTTAGAATTTTTTTATGGTAATATCAAGGCAAATCCTATTCCCTGAACTACAACGCAGCTCCTTCAGATTAGTTCTAAATGGAGGTTTTACAAACATTTTAATTCATTTAAGGTTATAATGACTCTCTTTTAAAACAAATTTTAATTGAATATTTGGGGGTTATATTTTTATGAGCTTTATACATGACTTGTAAAATACTATATTCAACCAAATCATAAAATTTTAATAATTTCAATTGATGAAATAATATATTTGTTGGGTGACCAGAGCTCTTCCTACTAATAATTCTTATAGCGCTTTTTTGTAAAATAAAAATAGGGTTTGTAATTGTTTTGCATGATTTTCCCCAAATTTCAATACAATAGATTAAATATGGAACAACCATTACATTATACACTATGTACAAAGCTTTGTCATTCAAAAACATTTTTACTTTATACAGTAATGCAATTGTTGTCGCCATTTTTATTCTGAAGTAATTTACATGAGATTTCCATGTCAGCTTCTCATCAATAACACATTTCAATATCATCAGTTTTAAATGAGACTTTGATAATTTTCTTTCTATTACTAAATATCATGTAGTTTGCTTTTTTCCCCTCCAAATTTAATGAAAACTTACTAAGTTGGAACCAAGTTTGTATTTTTACGAACTCTGCCTGTATCATCTCAAACATCCGTTCAATATCTTCTTCTGAACAACAACAACAACAACAACAACAAAAGTGGTATCATCTGCAAATAAAACATACTTCAAAAGCCCTGACACATCAACCAGATCATTCACAAATAGAATAAACAACTGTGGTCCCAACACAGAGCCCTGATGAACTCCACATCCATTAATACAAAATTCTGATCTTACATTGTTTACCTGTACAAACTGTCTCCTATTATTGTTATAGATGACTAATAAATAGGTCATAGATACATTATTTATTCCTCTATAAACACTTTCTAAATCATTAATAATTATTTATTATGCATTAATTAAGGGTGACGGAGACAAAACTGACCAGTTTCTTGCCAAATAGGGAGCGAAATCTGTTCACTTATTTATTTCATCTAGAGTTATTCTATTAAACATTTCAGACTAAGTTACTATCTTTTAGGTTGGCTCTGGATGAGTGGTTAGAGCAGTCGTCCTCCAATGCAAAAGTTGGGGGTTTGAATCCACCAGCAGTCACATGCTTAAGTGTCCCTGGACAAGACACTGAACCCCTCATAGCCTCTGATGTGTCCCATTGGTGTATGAAGGTGATAAAGCTCTGATTAGTCTCTTTAGAATGATTTGTTCAATTAGCTTTGTAGAGATCTAGTAGAGAGCTGTATGAATGAAGACACAGATTGTGTTATAAAGTGCTTTGAGTATCTTGATAAGATAGAAAGGCACTATATAAGTACAGTCCATTTACCATTTTAAGCACAATAAGCATTTGTAAACCTATTTCTTTAGCATATAATATTGTACTTTATCACTACATTATAAGTATCTACAACTAATATTATATCCTAAAAAAATTAGGCTTACAAATGATTATTGTGCTTACAAGATAGTAACTTAGCCTGAAATGTTTAATATAACAACTCTAGATGAAATATATAGGTGAACAGATTTGGGTCACTATTTGGCAACAAACTGGTCAGTTTTGTCTGTCACCCTTAATTAATGCACAATAAACAATTATTATTGATGTGTAAAGTGTTTATAGAGGAATTATTAATGTTATTTATAAACTATTTATTAGCCATCTGTAATGGGAGCCTTATTGTAAAGTGGTACCGTTTTGGTACATTATATGAAACCTTTGATACGTAGGAGTAAGAAGTGAAAAACGTGTTAATAAATATCTGCTTCATCTTCAAACATGATGCACCAATAAACGTGTAACGGAAGTCAACTCACCCTTGAAATGGCAAAATCTGCAAGAACAGAAAGAGAAAACAAGTGTTGGCATTCAGTCAGACACAACTGGGGAAAGTGCATATTTTTGCACAACAGGAACACACTTACATAAGTGAGAGTTAAGCAATTAGGTCAGCTCACTGAGCAAAACTCTTTCCCTTTGCTCCCTGTGAGCAGGTTGGGTAAAACATGGCCAGTCGGCTTATTCAAAACGAGCAAATTTGGTTAGAACCTAAACATTTATGAACTCTGACATTACTTGAGGTTTACTAAAATATGTGACTTCAACTTAAAACCACATGCATTTTTTTTAATACTTAACTCTCATGTTTATGCTCTTTTGCACATAACATTGTGTCTAAAGTGTCATAAAAAGCATAAAATACACCAAAAAACAATAAACACCGTCTTTATATGTCTTTATTTGGATTGTAAAAAATGCCTGACTTCTCATGGATTAGGTGATAAAAACAGCACCAAGTGTGCAATTTATTAAATACTTATACCTATGGGCTAGGCATATACTGTAGTAAACATAATTTTAATAAAAAAATGTTTTAAACAAACCAAAACCTATAAACTAGTAAACATTAAATGTTTCTCTTTATCGCCCGAGAAGCTACAATGTTTTTGTTTGTGTGTGTTAGTTTGTCCTTAGAATTTGTAAAATACCTCAAAAACCACTGGAACAATGACTGAAACTCTTAAAAATTAATCATTAGATGTAAATCTATAAATTTCTTAAACATTTGGAGTCAGCTCCACTCATGATGTTACTGCTAAGCGGATTAAGTAAACACAGTAATGGCTATAGCTCAGCTGATTTTACAGAGACAGAGATCAAATCTTGTGTGGTAGTAGATGACACTCATCCCCAACACGCTCTCCGAGGGCCGATTCACTTCACAGGATATCACATTATGGCAAAAAGTCACAGTGTCATTTAAAAGGTTTGACTAAAACAGCTCCAACTACAATACTTTTCTTCTTAGCATGAGCTGATGTTAGTTTACTTGAACTAAATATCTCACACTCTGTTAGTGAGCCCTCCATCCATTTATATGTCGATTAGGCCTGTCACGATAAACAATAAATCAATTAATATCATGATAAATTAAAATTATCAACCACATTTTCATTTATCGGCGTTATCGTTTCTTTGTCTCTCTCTTTCTGAAGACACTGGATGACAAAAGGTTCAACTCCGGTGTTCTTCACTGGCCCCTCCCTTTCTCTTTAAAATCCATTTTAACCGTCCAAATTTTTTTTGACCGTTAAAAGCAGCTAAGCTGAGAAGCTAAGCTACGAGCTAGGCTAACAGGCCGACCTCGGTGAAAAAACCTCCGTCTTGTCGAAGCTCAAAAATTCACGGTTGAAATCAATGCCTTCATGAAAAAAGTAGTTTTTCTCTGCAATAAGAAGCTGAGAACTTGTTTACTGATTTTTTTTTATTAAAAGCTTTGTGTGAAAAATGCTAAAGAGCTCAAACCACATCGAGAGTCCGCCATTTCGAGAACCAAAAACAAGGAAGGAGAGACAGCCCATGTCACGTCAAGGGGCCTCCCTCCCATTTTTCTTAAAGAGACACTCTGCTCGTTCCCTCACTATCCATCCTTCGGTTCAAACAGTCTTATACTGCCATCCGGTGGTCAAAAAATTACTACATGCAAATTAAATTGACCAACATTTCTTCTTAAATTTGACAATAATTACTAATTATTGTCAAATTTCAAGCAATATTATCATTTATCACAATAATTTCTGAGACAATTAACCACCCAGCAAAATTTGTTATTGTGACAGGCCTAATGCTGATGACACTGTTCTATAAGCTATGGAGTCTACTCCAGATGAGACTATGAAGTCTCTTGTATGTGGTTTTCTTGAAATCCAGCAGACATTTTTTGACTTAAATTTGTCTTTAAATGCCAAAAAAACTAAATTTATGGAGGAGGACCCATACCCAACTCGGTGTACTTCACAACTGTAAACGGTGACATTATAGAAGAGGTAACCGTTTATAAATATTTGGGAATTTGGATGGACGGTGTTCTGTACTTTTCACATCATGTTAATGTTTTGCAGTCTAAGGTTAAAGCAAGACTTGGTTAATTACAGTAGTTCCTGGCTATGTCACGGTTCACTTTTCATGGACTGTCGCGGTTTTTCAAAATACGATTGGACGTGACACACAATTGGCTGATTGGTGGATGATCCACACGATCGGCATGACATTCTGATTTGAAATAAATTATTTAGCACCTGCTGCGCCTGTGTGCAGCCCATAGCTGCAGACAAAGCTTCCTCCTGCAGCGGCCATATCTCCGCTCTGCAGCGTAAAAGTGGGCGTGGCCAAAAGTGCTGGCAGGTGGCAGAGAGCAGCCAGAGGCAGAGAGCTGAAATCATGATATTCTGTGCTCTTTTAGAGCGTTTAAAGTTTAGAAACATTGTTTAGAATATTGCAAGTGTGTGAAGGATTTAAAACGCCTTTAAACACACACACACACACACACACACACACATATATATATATATATATATATATATATATATATATATATACATGTATATTTGACATGTTTGTAAGAGTGTCCTTCCTAAGCTGGACCACAATTTATCACTCTGCTATTTGCGTTGTTACAGATGCTCCTTCTAAAACACATCATTGTCTCTACTCTCTTATTAAATGGCTTCTCTACGTACTTGTGATGGAATTCATTGGTATACCCTCATTTATAAGACGTTGAGGAGTTATTCACCTCCATATTTAACTAATCTACTGAAACTAGCACCAGTTTTGAAGTATAACAGCCGATCTTCTCAGTATTTGTGGTTAACGAATCTAAAGACCAAGTGTGGCTTTGGCTCTGCTGCTCCATCTGACTGGAATCTGCTTCTAAAAACGTTGGGACTGACCTCACTTCTCTCAGTTTCTAGTTTTAAAAATCGTTTAAAAGCCATGTTTAAAGATACTTGCAAAGGTTTACATGCTTAGTAATGTTGTCGTTTCACTTTGAAAAAAATTTAAAGGTAACATAAAAATGCGATTTCCTTTAACTTAAATCTGTTGCTAAGATTCACTGCTGTTGGATAGCAAAGATATTTCATCATCAAAGAGTCATGAAGCAATGACATAAAAAAAAAACATAAAAATTGGGGATATAAACGTTTCAAACTGCTGAAAAAGTATCGGAGGCGTTATGTGTAAAATCACTCAGACTGTCGGTGAGGTTAATCAGATAAGAACAGAAAGACACGCCCACGCTCTGGAATATCTCCAGTTACCATGGAAACCATCATGGAGATAGACCGTCAGAAAACCGAGACATCTTTTGTCACTGTTCGCTCCGACTCTCACTCCTCTTCTGCTCTGTCTGTACCTTTCGTGCTCTGTCATGTCTCATGCATGGATCTTTGTTTTCTTTCTTCTGCGCTGGTCTTTGTTTTGAGATGATGCACTTCGGGTTCTCGGAGTCACTTCAAACAAAATCCCAACGTAGGGAGAGTTTATTGTTCAGAAGAATTTCTCCTGCTCTTGCTCTTCTATTGCTTCGTTCTGCGAGCCCTTGCTTCCTATTCTTCTTTCTTTATGGAGCGCAGAACAATGTGATTCAACCGCCCTGATGCAATATCATGCAAACTGTCAGAAACCCCCAGGAGGACCCTCCTCCACTCCTGGATTCAGCACTCAAAGCAATTTGGTTGAAGATACTGAGGTCAGATTAGTGTGTATTCACTTTTCAACAGAGCAGCTGTTGCTCGTGGAAAAGAGAGTTGGACTACTTTACCTTTAAACGAGCTACGCATCAAAACCTGCTACCAGTTTATTTAGTCCTACTCCTCTTGACCCAGTGTTTTAGGTCTTCAAATGGAAACACGTTTTCCAAAACATTGTTTGTATTGTTTCCAAAATAATCCTTGTAAACACAGCACCGTTTCTAGAATCATCTTCATCCACACAGAAATGCAGAAAACAACCCAAAGTGCTTTACTAGCTAGGCTATGTACGGGTATGTATGTGGGGCTGTTATCACATAAATGCACCAAAAACAGGAAACAAGGAGTGGAGCATAAAGCTTGTACTCTGGTTACAAACTGTAAACACCAAACAAAGTTTTTGCCTCTTGACCCCATTTGACCAAAAACAAACAAACAAACAAACAAACAAAAAACAACATACAACATATTGTTTAAACCAGGGTGCCCACACCTTTTCAGCAGGTGAGCTACTTTTAAAATGACCAAGTCAACGTGATCTAACTATAAAAATACAAAACATATACTTATTTAAAAACAGATTAAGTATTCTTTATTTGTACAATAAAAACACTGTATTTTCCATGTCAGTCAGGTTGCCAAATAAGAAATGATGAACTATAGTACTGTCTCTTTAAAATTATAGTATTTTGACCTAAACTGTCATATGTGCTGAGTAAAGACACAGTAGTCCCTCGCTACTTTGCGGTTCGACTTTCGCGGACTCAATCTTTTGCGGTTTTTCAAAATAGGATTGGACATGACACACAGTTGGCTGATTGATGGATGAGCCGCACGATCGGCACAAAATTTTTATTTAAAATAATTTTTTTTAAAATTATTTAGTACCTGCTGCACCTGTGTGCAGCCCACAGCTGCAGCAGAAGCTTCCTTCTGCAGCGTGTCATATCTCTGTTCTGCAGCGGAGAAGTGGGCGTGGACGAGAGCGCTGGCAGATGGCAGAGAGCAGCCAGAGAGAGCAGAGAGCATCCCCCACGATAAACGAGGGACTACTGTATTTGAAGATGAGGTGTGTGTTGTGTGTGTTGAACATGTGCACAGAACAGGAGGGGGTAAATAAGACATTTAATTTATCTGGCAACCCTGATGGAGGGCTCAGCTGCATTCATTGTGCATGCATCATCTGCATGACAGTTACGTCCAAACTGGTGAATACACCATCGTCTCTTTTTGGAACTGAATTTTATTAGTTTTGCTCCTACATGCTGCAAAAGAGTGAGCAGCACAAAAACACTCTGCTCTGTTTATTATAACTGTTGTTGGTGCAGAAAAACTTTGGACTGCAGCCGCCTATAGTGCACACGTGTGACTTTACACTTGCGGAGCATTTCACTCCTCCATGGGGATGAGGGTCACCCAAAAGTCTCCAGTCTGAGACCTGGATTCAGAAACCTTCAGTTTCAGAGAGAACGAGGCTGTTGTCTGTAAATGAACAGCCGAACGTTTCATGTAATGTAAACGGGGCCTCAGACTTGCTGCCCCGTCTGTCAATCAAGAGACAAATTTCATAGGTTGACGTCTGTTTTATTAATGCCATGCGACCAATAGATGGGGTAGAGGTAGGTCAGAAAAACAAATGAACTTGATATTATATATGAATAAAAAAAAACCTTTACAATGTTGTGTTTTGTTGTTACTTTGCTCACCTTTGTTGTCTGTCTGCAGATCATCAAGGTAGAAGTCTGTTTGCCGGTTTCCCAGGACGAAGGCTAGAAAAGAGAGGATGAGGGCGTCCAGGATGCCCATGATGGCCAGCATGTAGGCCCAGCGTACAGAGCAGTTCCCCAGGGAGTATTTCCCCGACTGCTCCCCACACATGTCCTGGATCACCTCTGCGTCCCATCCGTCAGGGAAGATCATGCAGCCCAGCACCAGGCACACTCCTGCAGGAGAAACATTTGCCAAATTAATACCTAATGCAAAAAGACATTTGTGCTGGAACTAGAAATTAGAACCTGAAGTGCTTTAAATGGTTAGCAGCAAAAAAATGTTAATCATAAGGTTCACGTTTGATTTTGCTCTTCAAAATTTAAATGAAAATCCAGAATAAAGGGTTTTTACTTCTGAATCTATTTTGAAGCATGACTTACATGGTAACATTTGTTTATTATCTGAAAACTCAGATGTTCATGATAAAGTTGAGCAAAATGGAAAAGGAAATGTAAAATTGTTTTAGTATTTATGTTCTAATATAATAATAATGTAATATATATCTAATAAACACAAAAAATGTCTCTAACTCTGTCAATTTTACAGATATTGACATGAAATCTGGTGTGGTAGTAGCTGAGGATCATCCCAGATATCCATTTTACAAAAATTGTGCTAAATTTTGTTGTGATTTGAGCTGAGATTTATCACAATGCACACTTGAAATGTCACTCATTGCACAAGATATTTGCTTAAAATGGGCACATTAGCTGTTAGAGCCATCCCTGTTTGTCTTTTAGCAAAATATTCCATGAACCATGGATTGGCTTTATTGAAACCCTCAGAAATTAGTCAGCGGTAAAGGATTTACAACTTAGTACCTCATGGAATCAATGTAATTCAAGATGGTCGCCACGTTCAATTGACGTTAGCCAACACGAAAATGGCTAAAACTCAATCAAATCTTAGATATTGAGCTAAAACCTGATATGGTAGTAGCTGAGAGTCATTCATAACATATTCTGAGTGCTACATTTTCACAATATCACATTAGATTGCACATAATGTTTTCTTTTTTCCAAGACTTTACCAAAACAACTATAAGTCTCGAGGCTCAATGGGATTTACCTGTCTAAATAAAGGTTGAATGAAGTAATTTTGTCATTTCTCAACATAAGATGATTTTAGTTTAATACTCTGGAATGAAAGGAAGCAGGATATATTAATTTCCAATCCTTAATTTAGATTACGATATTAGATTCTTAAACATTAGTAGTCCCTCGCTATGTCGTGGCTCGTTTATCACGGGCTCACTCTATCGCTGTTTTTCAAATTAAGATTGGACACAACACACGACTGGCTGATGGATGAGCCACATGATCGACATGGAATTTTTATTAAAAATAAGTTATTTTAAATTATTTAGCACCTCTTGCACCTTTGTGCAGCCCACACTGCAGGAGAAACTTCCTGCTGCAGCTGATCAGCTGTTCTCTGTGCAGAGCTGAGAAGTGGGCGTGGCCAAGGGCACTTGCTGGGCAAAGAGCAGAGGAAGCAGGGAGCTAAAATCATGACATTCTGTGCTCTTTTAGAGCATTTAGAGTTTATAAACATTGCTTAGAATCTTGTAAGAGTGTGGGAAGGGTTTAAAATGTATATATATACTGTATATATAAATATATATAATAAAAATAAACTACTACTTACTACTTGTACTAATATTCCTACTTTGTGGTTTTTCACTTATCGCGGGCTTCAGGGTACGGATCCCCCGCAATAAACGAGGGACTACTGTAATTAAAAAAACAGCTTCCAGATAGTGACTGAAAATCTTCACACCGTACCTGAATGCAACATAAGCATGAGCCCAGTTTACGGCAGTAAAACCATGACGTGCATGGCTTAAATACATTTCTTACACGAGTCATTACCAGGAGAATGCACAAAAAAAATTGGTCCAGTCTTATTTTTTTCAACACACAAGTACTCCACAGCAGGATATTTTCTACTATAGGTGCTTTCTCACGGCTGGAAGTGTGGGGGAGGCAGCGTGGGGGTGAACGTCAGCGTACAGGAGGTAGAACATAATGCAGAAAATACGGCGTGGAAATCGCTGTTTTCTTTGCAGCGTGTCGAGAATAGCTGATGAGGCTCCCTTCTTTGTATTAATGCCACATTGTAGCTGAGAGTATCCATAATGATGAGGCGTTAGTGGCAAGCAGCACACAGGTCAGCAGAAAAGAGAACGGAGCAGGAACTCCTACCGGCATGAAAAATTGGGAGGAATGGATCACATGCAAGGCAGGGATGCAGACAGCACACACTGCAAAGCCCCTTCAGGGGAATGCATCCGTGCAGTTTCAACACCACAACAAAAAGGGTAATCCATACTTTGCACCTGCTCATTCATCAAAGCGAACATCTCCAGGGAGCTGATTTCGCCATACGCTGTGCTCACCAGCACTGCATAACGAGCAGTCATCCTCTACCTCCGGGGGCTCTAAGTAAAGCTCCTCTGAGACATGAGGGACATGCACGGTGGACGTCACACTAAATCTTCATTTCAGACCAGACATTTCTTTTCCACAGGCAACATATTTTTGCGACACATTTGAAAGGTCACTCAGATTTACTGGAAATATCAATTAAACCTGTACATGTCAAAAAGGTTTCTCAGAAAGGAACTGAAGTGGTGCACGATTGAGAATCGTTTTAAAGAATAGCCGGGTCATTTATGAATTAATGTTCTTTCAAATGGTCAGAGCAGTAAGACGAAAAGGGCAGAAGTCTTCATGCAAGCTAAGCTAATGGCTAGTCAAGTAATAGTTTCAAATTATATTCAGGTCTTTAAAGTAAATCTTTCTCAAAAATGACATATCGGCATGAAAAGAATGCTACGTTGGCTTTTAATAAACCTTTACACTTCTGCATAAGACAGTTTTTAGTTGACCTTGTCGTGGTTTTCTCAACGTAAACAGTCGTGGGTCGATGTTCAGCACAGATATATTCACATAGTAACACAGACAATATTTGGTTGAGAAAACAGTGCCATGTAAATGCACAAAGGTTTAAGATTAACTAATGAAGTGTTTTTCCACACCGGTATGCTGTTGTTGCGAAAAAGTCGATTTATAAGCCTAAAAACTGATAAACAATGGGCCCTTGTTGGACTAGTCATATTCCGTGCTATTTGAGTGATATTAAGATACCATCCATCCATCCATCCATCCATCCATCCATCCATCCATCCATCCATCCATCCATCCATCCATCCATCCATCCATCCATCCATCCGTCCGTCCATCCGTCCGTCCGTCCGTCCGTCCGTCCGTCCGTCCGTCCGTCCGTCCGTCCGTCCGTCCGTCTGTCCGTCCATCCATCATCTTCCGTGTATTCTAAAGTCAGGTTGCGGGTGCAGCAGCTTGAACAGAGAGGTCCAGACATCTCTTTCCACAGTCACCTCTCCCAGCTCTACTGGGAGGACACAAGGTGTTCCCAGGCCAACTTAGAGATCTAGACTCTCCACCGGGTCCTGGGTCTTCTCCCAGTCGGACAAGCCTGAAGCACCTCCCTAGGGAGGCGCCGAGGAAGCATCCTTACCAGAGTTCAGGACCATAGGTGAGGGTTGGAACCGACCGGTAAGCAGAGAGCTTTGCCGTACCGCTCAGCTCCCTCTTCACCACAACGGACCGGCACAGAGAGTGCAATACTGCAGACGCTGCACCAATCCGTCTGTCGATCTCACGCTCCATTCGTCCCTCACTCGTGAACAAAACTCCAAGATACTTGAACTCCTCCACTTTTCATTCCACCTTTACTTAGACAGATTAATCCCATTGAGCCTCGAGGACTCATTTACAAGAGAGACCTGAAGACCTGAAGAGAGCAATCCACCCTTTTCCAACTGAAGACCAGGCACTAATTATTGATAACGATTATACAGAACATCCCTTCAAAGATGACCAAACTATCACTTTATGTGCTCTGTGCGCTGAAAGATATTGGTCACCATTTAAATGAACTACCGTAGCGTTGAAGTACAAAGAGGTGTAATACATACAGTATTTATCTGTTGTTAAACTATAAACCAAATCAAAGTTTCAGTGCACTTTTTGTCAGTATAGAGGATCTTCTTTGTTAAAACCAAAATTTGCCTTTTTTTTTTTAAACACTTTGTCTGTTTTTATAAAAACAACAACACACGGATATGCTATCAAGATCAATAACACATGTTTAATGTGGGTGGTTTCTATGATATGTAAATGCAAAAAATCTTGTTAAATGTTCTGCCACTGCTGAGTGTGACTAAAACTTCTTTTGTTTGTTTGTTTTCTCTCGTCTGTCTGGTACCAAAATATTTCACGAGCAACTAGATGGATTTTATTAAAATTCCTAAAACTACTAGTCGATCATAACTCTACAACTGATTAACTTTTCGCTAAAATACTGGGTTTTTAAACTTTGGCATGAAAGGTGATATCTTTTCTTTAAGGAATGCTAGTCTTCTTGTTCTTGTTCTTTCTCTTGCTCTTCTTGTTCTTTGTATTCTTCTTGTTCTTGTTTTTGTTCTTCTCCTTGTCGTTGTTCTTCTTCTTCTGGCTGATCCCTTCCTCAGGAATTGCCACAGCGAACTGACTCGCACGAAGATTTGGCAATTGTTTTCATGCCGGACGCCCTTCCAGACGCAACCACAGACCACTGAGCTACCACAGCCCTCTGTGTGGAGCAGATTGCTGCCATCAAGGGCACCCAGGGGAGCAGATGATGGGAGCTAAGGGCCTTGCTAAGGGCCCAGAATGGGGGCAAATGAGGGTGGAGACAGGTGTGGGTCTTTTACCTTTTCCACGCACGTTTTGACGTCGGTCCAGGAAAATGAACCAGCGACCTTCCAATCACAGGCCAATTTTCTCTAACCTAAATCAATACAATCAATTGTATCAATAAATCAATACTTATCTCATGTGAAAATGTTAACAAAAGACTGCATACAGCTGAAGATGCTGAATGTGAGTATGTTTAAAGTGAAGTCTGAGTCACGTGCCTTTACTTTGTAACGCTGGTGATTCCCACTGAAGCTGTTCTTCACATCCTGGCAAACCATTATGAGAAAATGGTGGGCGGTGAACTCATGGCAACAGATGAAGGAGGATATGAGATTAGTCACCACCTCTCTGTGTAAACATGCAAACACAAGTCCTGTTTTAGCTCGAGACGTGCACGCTTTGAAAATGTG